AGTAAAATAAATTTAATAAAATATTTTTATTTATTAGATATGTTTGTCATTATAATATATGTATAGTTAATAATTATTTGTATTAAATAACAAAATAAAATTAATTTAAAATTAGTATTATCAATTCGTTAGAACATTTAATTTTTCTATTTGGATCATATTAATTAATAAATTTTTGATAAAAATAGTGTCTCAAATTAAAATTTAAATACATATAAATTTTAAAAAATTCTATTTCTTTACATTTAAGATCTTTAAATTTTTAGTTTTTATATATTTAAATCTTAATTTTATTTATAAATTACAAATCATAAAATTTATTTTTAACATACATATTTCAAATAACACTCTATTTCCTAAGATTATTTTCTAGCTTCATTCCTATCCTTGAGATTATTTAAAAAGAGTTGACCTATTATAAATTAGTGTATATTTGCAAAAAAATATATTTTGTAATTTAAAATAAAATATAATATTAAATATTAATTATTACTAAGTAGTCTAATATAATGATTAATGACTAAGTTTTTATTTGTCCAGAATGCAGACTTTTTAAATCTCTCAATTCCTAATTTCTGTGGTCCCAATTTCTAACTGGCGAAAGGCCCACCCAAAGACAAAAAGCAAAATTCATTTCTGTTGACATTTGATTCAAAAAAAGGCGTGGCCACATTGAAAAGGGGCCAAACGGGCAATGTCAATAAAGGCCTAAACTTCTTGACTTTATTATACCACCATCCTTCACAGTTCGCATCTTCAAACATCCATCCCGCCTTCTCCATTCAAGCTTTTTTCTTGCATTGCATGCCCAATTATTTTACTAGGTTTAGAAATTCAAAACAGAACTCAAGAATAGACCTTGTTATGGTGTCCTCTCCTGTATGTTCTGTTTCCCCTTTTTTTTTTATGTAAATGAAAATATTATTAAATTAAATTAAATTTTATAAAATGAGGATTCATATATGATACAAGTATTTTGATTGTAAGAAAAACATAAAAGATAAAAAATAAGAATGAAGTTCAAAAAAAAAAAAAAGATTTCTCTATGAAAGCTTAATGCTTGATGAGTTTATCAAATGTTCTATTTGCTTCATGGTAGGTATGTTTAATGAGCACACCCTCAAATCTCTAGATTAACAATATGCAAGAAGCAACTAATGCTTTGTGAATCCTATTTGTAACAGAAGCATCATTTAGCATATGAACAACAAATATAGAGTCAACTTCCACTTCCCGTTTCCTAATTCCCAATTTTAGAGCTACCTCTAATCCAACTTTAATCCCCCAAAGTTTAGCATCATTGTTAGTCCCATAACCTTGCTATCCAATTGCCTCCCTGATCCCGGATAACTCCACCAACATCTACTTTGTTATGGGTGGCGTTAGATGAACCATCAGAGTTCATTTTAAACCATCTAGTTTTCTTATTCTTTTCATGGAACTAGGAAGGGAGACATGTATTTATTTCATATGCCCCAAAAAGTTTGATATGCTTTTGGATCCTTACTTTTCAACACATGGGCTCAGGTCCCTACCTATAACCACCCTCCTCCGTATTTTAACTTTTCCTAATTAATCTTGTTTGATGAACCTTTGAGTAACCAACATTTTGGTCCTCAATAAATATGCAATTCCAACCACTCCAATCTTCCCCTTTACAATTTACATGAATAGCAAATGGCATGGATTCTCATTTCAGAATGTTATTTTTGTAGTTTACCTTATATGGACTGTAAAGTTAACAATTGATGGAGAGGTGAGCCCTTAATATTATGAGACTTGCCCTTCCATCAATGGATAAGTAAGAGTGCAGTACATGCAGTGCAGGACGGACTGCACTTCACAAACAAATCTAATCATATCTATTCCCCCAAATCTAATCTAGTCTTTGTGGGAATCATATTTT